AGAGAGAGAGAGAGAGAGAGAGAGAGAGAGAGAGAGAGAGAGAGAGAGAGAGCGAGAGCGAGAGCGTCGCTGTTTTCACAACAACACGTGTGAGAAACGTTGCGCTGAAATCGTGATACACGTGGACGAACACGTTTGATTCTTCGGGTTTCGATGAATATATATATTTGGTTGCGTGTGCGTATCATTGGAGAAAGTGAATCGTGATGTAAAAAAACAAAAGGGGGATGGATATGTACGAGCGTCGAGTTTTCATGGAAGTTTCCTCGTCCACCTCGATATTTCACGATACCGCGATCGAGATTCTTGGGATGGAAGGATGGCGGATTGGAGAGGAAAACGTCGAGGATTGTCGTGTCACGCGCACGATGCGTCGAGCTGGAAATTATGTCCAGTTGTTATGGAAAATTAAATAATTCAACGAGAACGGATTGAAGATTATAAAATAGATGAAAGATGTGAGTAATGTAATCGATGAATATTGAACGAACCAAGTTTTCCAAACGGTCGAGAAAGACGATAAAATGGAAAATGAGGATATCGTCGCATCGTAAGAAGAATGCTCGCGTGCACGATTGGTAAAACAGGAGGCGAAGAAGATGGCGACCGGGAATGAGAGAAAATGAATTGAGACTCAATCATGCGAGAGACGTATATGGAAAATATTGGGAGGAACCGCGGGAAGGGGGTGAAAGGACGCGATGAGAGAACCGATATGTACGATAATTCTGTAAATACGAGTTTAATTGCGATTTATTATTGATTAATTACGCTCGCGACCGCGGACGATAATTATTATTACTACAATTATTATTATTATTATTATTGCCAGGAGTATCATCACCATTTACCATCGTCACATTTGTCACTATTATTATTACTATTACTATTACTATTACTATTATTACTATTATTATTATTATTATTATTTTATTATTATTATTACCATTATTTATATTATTATCATTCCTATTATTACTATTACTATTATTATTATTATTATTATTATTATTATTAATATTATTATTATTATTATTGCGATTTTTACCACTGTAACG